CACACAAGCAGAGGCTGCCTTTATCCTGAGAGCTTGGGCGCCGCCACAGCTCAGATTACTCAAGCGTGCTTTAGCGGAAGCCAGCCAAGAAATCTCCAAAACTCAGTGACAAACAGCTACTCTGGGAAGGTGATCTCCCCGGCCCCCAGCCTCAGGGCCCCGCCTCTGAGCTCCTCTCGCTGCTGGAGCTAAAATATCCTTGTTGTTATTAGGTGCCTGGGAGCCTGTTCTGACTCACAGAGACCCTATCTATATACAACAGCACAAAACACTGCTGGGTCCTGCGCCATCCTCACCCTTAGCTGCAAAGAAAAGACAGGTGGGGAAGCAACGCGGAGACGCTCAGGTAGTTCTGAGAACTGAGAAAGAGCCACACAAGGGCTCCTGGGCGTGAAGCTTGGATCCCAGGGCTTGCAGGTACGGGCACTCAAGCCGAGATTGAACTGGCACGCCCGACCCTACCCAGAGCTCAGCCTCGCCTTGGAAAGACCCGAGGCTTGCCCGCGCCGCTGAGCATGCCCAGTTTCACCGCTGGAGCCAGTGAGGAGTTGCAAGTTAGAGAGGCTGGGTCTCCAGGTATTGATGGCTCCAGGAATGGAAGAGGAGAAAGCCAAACGCTGTGCAAGAGACTGATAGGCAATAAGGGTAGAGTTGAAAATGGGCGAAGTTGGGTACTGAGAAGAAAGGACAAAAGGTGGGTGGGGCTCAGAGTTGTCAGTCTCCATGTGACTTCCCTTGGCGCTCAGGACACAGAGACCCATCGTACTCTCCACCACGTCTAAGGCATCGCCTTGATTCGAGTAGGGAAGAGCTGAAAGAACAGAATAGTGTGTTAAGTCTTTCTTCTCAAGAGTATTCAGACGTGGTAATCGCAAAGTGTACACTTCTAATAGTCCTCGAGACTTAGGGAATCAAACCGGATCAAACCATGTGAAGAGAGGGGTTTCTAAGTTGCTTTTCTTCCATCTATTTCTAGTATGTCCTATATGAACTTAATGGTCTGTCACACTCTTTGCTCCTTTCTCTAAACATAATTTTCACCACTAAAACTTACAGAAATAGAACATAGACAAGACTCTCATCTCCAGCTAGTAACAGATTAGAGACCTTTCTAAAGTCATGTAACTGCATGACAGAGTTTGGGAATTTCTTTTTGCCTGCTAGCCTGCTTCGCCTATGCCTCGAGTCAGCATGTTTATATATTCTCTCGGTCACATTTTCCTCCTTTAAGCGAGGAAAATGAAAGTGAAATTTAGAAGGACAAAAACAGGAAAGGTTAGATTAAGAAGGTGTTTTATGGGTTACCCTAAAAGGAAAGAAAAGAAACAACTTTTTATGCACTTCCCACAAAACTCAAATAAACAAAAGAATACAAACAAAATCCTAAGCAATCTTTACTCTTCCACATCAAAGTAATGAAAATTAAAAAAAAAAAATGCAGGCACTGCCTAGGAATGTTGAAATTTTTTTGTTAATGAGCTTTACTTTTATAAAGAAACAGTCTGTGACAGCACCAAGGCTCTTAAGTAGTTTGGGTTTCCTGCATTTGCACAGTTCCCTCTTTCTGGTATAAAACGGCAGCCTCTTCCAAAGTACCAATTTATTTTATCCTGGTTTTCTTCATAAGTAGATCACTCTGTCATTCTGCTCCCTAGCTGCAGCTGGGCTTGTGAGAGGCCAGAGCTCCTTTCCCAGGTGCGGAATGTTTTGAACTATCCATGGTGCTGACTCTAACTCTGCTGTTCCTAACAGCTCTCTGCCTATGCTCAGTTTCAAACAACAGAACTGCATACTCCTGCAAGTGGCCCTGAAATACTCACATACACCACTTGTCTGTCCCAGATACACACAACAACATAAACTGATAGCTTTACCATATATCTACAGCATTTTGGTTTCCTAATTTGAAGCTTATCTCCCTCCAAAAATATATTAAGCATTCCAGACAGTATCTATTCATAGAGTCAGTTGAATTTTAAGGTTCCAGTGTAAGTTATGACAAGGTCAGATGACTTATAATTCTTTATGTTTGGTGGGTTTTGTATTTTTTTTAATCACATGGGCAAACTCAATTATTGACTATTACTGATGTGTGAAGGGAAATGGGAGTTTTCAAATACAATTTGATATGCAGTATCTATCTGTTATATGACAAGATTTATTGACATGGAGGAGGTAAATGTCCTTAATATCATCTGAGTAGTGGTACTAGGGATATTTTAGCTGATGTTAGATGGATCTTAGCTGAAAGCAGAGAATACCAGAAGAATCTATATCTGTGTTTCATTGATTATGCAAAGACGTTTGACTGTGTGGATCACAAGAAACTGTGACTGATTCTGAGAAGAATGCGAATCCCAGAACGTTTAATCGTGCTAATGCAAAACCTGTACTTGGACCAGCAGGCAGTCGTCAGGACAGAGCAGGGTAACACCACATGGTTCAAAATTGGTAAGGGTGTATGCCAGGGATGTGTCCTATCTCCATACCTTTTCAACCTTTATGCAGAGCAGATTATCTGAGAGGCTGGGCTTTATGAGGAGAAGTGTGGGGTCAGGATTGGTGGAAGATCTATTAACAATCTGCATTATGCAGATGACACTACCCTGCTTGCTGAAACTGAGGAGGACCTCATGCACTTGCTGCAGAGGGTCAAGGACTGCAGCATTCAGTATGGACTG